CATTTAAAACTATATCAACTGGCATATATATTACATATTGGTTGCTTTGCTTAGACTATCATCAGATGAACATACATAAACTACGCTTATATGTGAAATATGTGTACTACAAGTATTCATCTTTCTGTCTCTTAATGTTGGCTTCATAATTATGCACTAATAAGGAATATGATTTTGTAGGGTGATCGTATACATGCTTCAATCGGAAAGTATGTTGTTAAGTTTTTTAGGAACAAGATACAGGAATTTCGCTTATATCGTATGAGCTACTTTGTTGTCGGACCAAATAATTTTGAAGTTGAGGACTACAACACACAACTTGAGGCTGACATTTACACAAAAGACATTTGTTGAGGAAACAACTGATCCTGGATTTCATATGAACATCTTTAACTTGCGTCCTTTTGACCAACTAACAAATCAACATGATGTCGATGAGACAGAATTATTCGGTAAGTCTTCTTTTCCTTTTTATTTAAATGGTAGGTTTTGTAAAACTATGTTACTAACTATTATATTTATAGATGTTGTTGGCCAGGTTGTGACCTATGAAGATGTTAAGACCTACAAACAAGGAGACGACCAAAGTGTCTTTATTAATGTTGTACTCGAGGATGATCAGTAAGTCATTCGCAAATAAAAATAATACTTTACAATAAAACTACATATATTGTTGTTGATTAAGTTTTACCATAAAACGTATAGGAGGAATAGGATTTTGGCAACCTTATGGAGTGAACTTGTGGATCAAATTCAACATCACTTGACTGAATCTACAGATGAACCTTTGATTGTTGTTTTCTAACATATGAAAGCTCAAAAATTTCGAGGTTTACCATTAATTGCATGTATTTTTCAATTTTAGTTTATAAATATTATATAATTTCAGATTTATAATTATAGTAAATCTGATACACAGGTAATTACTCAGTGCGTAGTTGTTGGTATGAGACAAATATATGGATTAATCCTACGCTGCCGCAATCAACTGAGTTTAAATCCAGGTTTGTCAAGTGTACAATCCTTTTCTATATGTACAAAAAATATAAAAACAGTATTGACAAATAACAATTTTCGACTTATGCAGATTTCCGGCAGTACGTCAATCAAACTTTGAGCCGATTACTCAGACAAGTTCACAGCAAAGTTACTCTGTTAGAGATGAGTTAGACAAAGGAATTATACTGTTTAAAACTATTAGGGATTTAGTTCAGTGTACGCAGGTGAGTTTAATTTAGTGTTATAATTTTATTTACCTTATGTTTTCTGTTTTGCATTTACAATGACAAAGGAATTGTACTGTTTAAATAATTATTTAGTTAAGTGCATGCAAATGAGTTTAATTTACTATAATATTATATGTACCTTATGTTTTGTTTTGCATTTACAATAATTTTTTCTTTATCTTAAATAGGAATGTAGCTATTGAATTGCGGCAAAATTGGTGAATTTGGAACTTGACCGAGGATGGTCATACTTGACATGCAACAAGTGTACTAGAAAGGTTGACAGAGTTGGTACTACATACTTTTGCAAGAAATGCAATGAAGAAGCATGTTCTATTACTCACAGGTAATAGGCTTCAAGTTCATCTATGTTGACAAAGTTGGTACTACATATATGTATATATATAAATATGCATAAAGTTAATCAAAATTGAGTTGCAGGTATAGGCTTCAAGTTCGTGTTATGGATGGAACCGCTTTTATCTCATTATTGCTTTGGAATCGCGATGCTATGCAGCTTATAGGGAAGTCCGCAAAAGAACTTAAGGAAGGATTAGTTGAGGTATAATACTAAACTTAATTTAGTTGTCAATTATAATATTTCTAACCTCGAAAATTTGGTGTAGACCTCAATTGGGGATGCTGATTGTTCTTATCCAACTGAACTGGACGATATTCTTTATAAAAAATTCATGTTCAATGTTATTGTTAAGAAAGAGAATATTNAGTTATTGTTAAGAAAGAGAATATTGAGTCACAGGTCGAAATCTACAATGTTCTTAAGATTACTGATGATGATGAACTTCTGGAGGAATACGGAAAATTCGACGACACTATCACTGTAAACATTGTTATTCACAAACCTGTGAATACAAAATTAAACTATAAATATTTTTACACTCATAAGATGAATATTTTTTTGGCTTTATTTTTAATAGGATCCACAGTTTTTTGATGGACAAAGCTCAAGTGGAGAGAAGTTTTTTGGGGTAAATTTCATGAAATTAAAACTTTTATGAGATGGAGAAATCTTCCTTATCCTTTCTTTTAAGAAGATGAAAAAGATATTAGTTTAAGACACTGGTGGGCTA